GCTTAAAGCTCGAGATTCGATGACTAAACAAATTAAAACGCGGGAAAGTAATTAAGGTTTGGAAGGGCAATGACTTTTTCTTTGATGCTTTGGTTGGCTTGATGAACTTTAATAACGCGTTCTCCGTTCAGGAAAGGCTCTTTGATCGAAAATTGTTGTAATCATGTAAATTATAGTTCGCTCCTGGCACACTGACTCATCAAGACGACGATCACGACACACTTCTACATATTGTTATTTCTCATCACGATCTTGCTAAGATCTACTCTCTGGTCGAACAGCAGCTTAAACTTGACAACGTCAAGGAACGTCGACCTTTTGACGTACCGAATCGGTACAACGAGACACCATTGTTCCTTGCAGTTCAACAACAGCTGAAGGAGGTGAATTTTCTATTTATATAGTTTTCCCAGTAAATTATATTATAGCCTGAATTTGTTACCCAGCGTAGTATTTTTTCGAAGTTCTTATGTTGAGGTGGTTGCATACCTACTCGAAGTTGGTGCAGATCCGAATGTACAGTCAGCGCGTCCGGAAAGGGAAGGAGCTCTACACTACGCAGCCGCTAGGGGCTTCAACGACATCGTTAAGGCTAGTGTACATGCTTTTTTGTTGTGGTTCAGAGAATAAAATAATGTTTTCAGATTCTTTGTGCTAACAGAGAACTGCGTATCAACGAGTTGAATGGTCGTGGTCAAACTGCTCTACAATGTGCTATTATCAATCACGGCGTTATCGACGACCGATCGCAGAAAGTCATTGACAGTCGCGACATAATTGTGACACTCTTGAAGGCTGGAGCCGATCCCACAATTGTGGTACGTTGTGGACTTGCGATTGAACGAATATTTGGACTAGGGCTCCCCCACTCACTTCACACTTTGGGGCGCGGCCGAGTTGATAGTGCCCGCGAACTGTGCTGATGGAGTGTTTTCAAACCTACCCGCACAGTTCGCGGGCACTACCAACTCGTCCGCGCCCCAAATGTGAAGTGAGTGGGGAGCCCTAGTCCAAATATTCGTTCAATCGCAAGTCCACAACGTACCACAATTGTGGGATCGGCTCCAGCCTTCAAGAGTGTCACAATTATGTCGCGACTGTCAATGACTTTCTGCGATCGGTCGTCGATAACGCCGTGATTGATAATAGCACATTGTAGAGCAGTTTGACCACGACCATTCAACTCGTTGA